TTCGTCTTCGAGTTGCGCGTGTGAGCAGAGGCCGCCCGCGTCTCCGTCTTCCTGGCCCCGTTTCGGCCCCAGCTATCCCAGAAGAGCCAGACGGGCTCGCGCTGTTCGGTGCCCGGCCCGCAGCAGTCCTCGCGACGCGACCCCCTCGCGACGCGACCCCCTCGCGACGCGACTCCCTCTCGACCCCCTCGGCGACGCGACTCCCTCACGGGGCGGCTCCCAACAGCACTGCGCCCCTCCCCCCGGGACGGGCTCCTCACCCCGAGCACGGTCCACAAGAGGGGCAGCCATCCCAGGGGTACCCTGGCATCCTCGCCTCCTCGGCCCATCCCTGGCCACATCCCTCGGCCGCGCCCCGCTCGAGAAGCTTCGGCACGGCCTTCCAGGGCCCTTCTTGCATCCTGAGCGCGCTTATAACGCGGGCTGGCCCAGGGGAACCGAGGATGACAGAAACACGAAAACTCGGAGGTCCGCGCGGGTGGTTCCTCGGATCCGCGCTGGACCCTCTCCCTGGCGTGCGGAGCGTGCCAGGGGCGGCGCCGGAGGCCCCATCGCCCATCGCCGATCCGAGAAATCCGCGCGGACCTCCGAGTTTTTATGTTTATGTCATTGTTCGTTTCTCTGTGACTGCAGGTTCTTCTTGACCGCCCCAGGGGCCCAGCGAGGGCTCCCAGAGGCAGAGCATCTCAACCAGAGTGTCCGCCGTGATTGCTTCACGACGCGAGGAGGATGAGTAGGAGGAGGAGGAGGAGGAGGAGGGGGAGGAGAGGAGGAGGAGGAGGAGGAGGGAGGAGGAGGAGGAGGAGGAGGGGAGGAGGAGGAGGAGGAGGAGGAGGAGGAGGAGGAGGAGGAGGAGGAGGAGGAGGAGGGAGGAGGAGGAGGGGGGGGGAGGAGGAGGAGGAGGGGGGGTCGTGCGGCGCCAGTTGCAGAAGGTAGGGGGCCCGCGCCTGCCCGCACCTCGCGTGCCCTCGGGGGGCCCCAGCTTCGGCGGCTCCCTCCACCACTGCGCCCACTCCTCCTGGTCCTCCTCCTCCTCCTCCTCCTCCTCCCTCCCTCCTCCTCCTCCTCCTCCTCCTCCTCCTCCTCCTCCTCCTCCTCCTCCTCCTCCTCCCTCCTCCTCCTCCTCCCCCTCCTCCTCCTCCTCCTCCTCCTCCTCCTCCTCCTCCTCCTCCTCCTTCCTCCTCCTCTCCTCCTCCTCCTCCTCCTCTCCTCCTCCCCCCTTCTCCTCCCCCCCCTGGCCCAGCGGCCCTCCTCCCCAGCAGAATCCCCTTCGCCCCGCCCCGCCGACTTCCCGCTTCTGTTCCCCTGCACCCCCCTGGTTGGAATCGTCCCCGTTCCCCTCTCCTCCGCTGCCCCTCCTTCCAATCGTCTCCGCATTCCCCCCTCCCCATCGTCTCCGTTCCCCTTCCCCCACGTCCACCCCGTCCTCCTCCTCCTCCTCGGCCCTCCTGGCTCGCCCCGCAATCAACTCCTCATACCCTCCTCGTCCCCTCGTCCCTGGTCATCAACATCCCCATCCTCTTGCCTCCCTCTTCCTCTTCCCAGTCGCCATCCGTGAACATCTTGGCCCCAGCTGTTTTGGCCCAGGCTCTGGATCTGCCGCGGGAGCGTGCGCCCGCAAAAGAGCACCGACCGCCCCCCCCAGCCGCTCGATTGAGATGGCCTCGTCGTCCAAGGTCGGAGAGCGTAAAGTGTGCACTCGCTCCGATCCCAAATCCCCTCGCGTCGTGAAATAAA